TATATGTCCTGCTGTGTGTGCTCTATATGTCCTGCTGTGTGTGCTCTATATGTCCTGCTGTGCGTGCTCTATATGTCCTGCTGTGTGTACTCTATATGTCCTGCTGTGTGTACTCTATACTTTATGTCCTGCTGTGTGTTCTCTATACATTCTGCTGCTCCATATGTCCTGCTGTGTGTGCTGTATATATCCTGCTGTGTGTGCTCTATATATCCTGCTATGTGTGCTCTATAAGTCCTGCTGTGTGTACTCTATACTTTATGTCCTGCTGTGTGTTCTCTATACATTCTGCTGCTCCATATGTCCTGCTGTGTGTGCTGTATATGTCCTGCTGTGTGTGCTCTATATCTCCTGCTGTGTGTACTCTATATGTCCTGCTGTGTGTGCTCTATATGTCCTGCTGTGCGTGCTCTATATGTCCTGCTGTGTGTGCTCTATAAGTCCTGCTGTGTGTACTCTATACTTTATGTCCTGCTGTATGTTCTCTATACATTCTGCTGCTCCAAATGTCCTGCTGTGTGTGCTGTATATGTCATGCTGTGTGTGCTCTATATGTCATGCTGTGTGTGCTGTATATGTCATGCTGTGTGTGCTGTATAAGTCCTGCTGTGTGTGCTCTATATCTGCTGCTGTGCATGCTCTGTAAGTCCTGCTGTGTGTGCTCTATATATCCTGCTGTGCGTGCTCTATAAGTCCTGCTGTGTGTGCTCTATATGTCCTGCTGTGTGTGCTCTATAAGTCCTGCTGTGTGTGCTCTATATGTCCTGCTGTGTGTGCTCTGTAAGTCCTGCTGTGTGTCCTAGAGAAATCCTATAAGGAGAAGACCACACTCACCCTCAATGCTGCTCCAGTCGATGTCCTGGTTCTCTGGCTTGTGCAGGGCTGGGTACTTGTTGAACAAGTTAGCGATGAAAGCCAGGTTCAGCTTGGGGTTTCCACGGACAACGTCAGTCGCCGTGACAAACTGCCGGCAGCCCAGGCGGTCGGCCTGGTCCAGCATGCACTCTGCTCTCTTCAGGTCCTCCTTTTCCTGAAAGAGCAGTCCACAGCTCACAGTCAGCTCTTCCGCTGTGATTCATGTGTTTCTAGCTGTGCGTTACAGAAATGTGCTAAAACAATGTGAATGAGCATGTACAGAGAGGCAACAAAAATTGAAACAGTTATTTCATTTATTAATTTATTAATTTTCTTTTTGATTGCTTGAATTTGTTTATTTATAAATATGTCTCCCATCTTACTTGAAAACATGGTCTTTCCCTTTTTACAGCGCTATTAATATTATTCAGATTTACAACGTTGTGATCTCTGTGGTATAATATGTGTGTTCTGCAAAGTTGAATCTTTCCTCCTTCCTGGGACTGTTAGGTTCTGAATGTGAGCGATGTAAGAAATATTCATGTATTTCAGCATGAAAAACATTGGATCTCAAAGTCCAAAGAGCATAAAAACCGTTGGGAATCATTGGTTATTTTCCATCTCTTTCCTCCAATCTGCAATTTCTTGGTACCCATCCACTTGACTGGCTGTGCAGCACCCTGAGAGCGATGGCGTGCTCTTGTCGTAGTCTTCATACAAGAGAGTTGGTGTTGATTGGTGGAGTGGTGCTTCTGTCACTCACATCACTTCACAGGCACCTGGCTCATCACTGGGGTTACTATTGTTACCCACTATTATCTACTATTATCCAATATTGCATATAGTGGATACCCCCATCAAACATAACCCTGCCACCCAATCCTAGAGAAAATTCAGCCTCTACTTAAAAACCACTTGGGCGATCTCAGTGAATCTGGCAAAGGTCTTAGTATGTGCTGGAAACACCTCTCTTTACTTGCTAAACTTTGAGAACATTTTTTCAATGACTCTCTGTTGTGCACCATGCATGGCGATGGTACCTTAATATGCCATTCCCCACTCCACCCCTCTCAGGCTATATTCCGGACACGGCCCACTGTTCAGTACCTGTCTGCAAGCCAAGTGCTGCCAAGTACATCTGACACACACAGGGCCCGTTCAGGTGATTGTAAGGGTTTGTCCTTTGGATGGAGGGTGGAATTTCATTTCCATCACTTACTAACACATCAAACTTACTCTGAGCCCCGACATGTCAATGGCTATGGGAGGGATTCCTTCATCGTCACCCTTGGGTGCAATCTGGTTGAGCAGATGGTAGTAGGCCTTGGAGTCCTTTAGACAGAAGAAAGACGGTGTCAGATTGCTGCGAGAGCATCTGCAGCACACTGCTTGTGCAATACTAGTTTTGAGTCTCCTTTTTAATGGAATATCTACAAAGCCAATTTGCTAGATCCAAGTCAGTAAAGAGAATATGACAGCAGCAGGGGAGACAGGTCAGCAGAGAAAATATGACAGCAGTAGGAGACACAATTTATATCCCACACAAAGAACCTAGTTCCTCGTTCTCCTTGTGACTTTTAAAGCATGTGCATTTTTATGCAATCAATCTCTATGACTTGAGTTTCCTGATTTGGGGCATGCTCATCAATGAAATCCTTGAACAAGGAAGATGCATTTCCAAATCTTTTACACACGGAGCAACATTCCACAAAACACTCTTCCGAAAGATAAATACAATTCTGTGTTTTATCTAAATAATACTATTTACCTTCTGCATTCTGCAAAAGTTTACTTTTGGTTATGCCACAAAACAGGAAATCTCACAGAAAGATGTAATCTGTCTTTTCAAATACAACACAGCTGTTTGCAAATCATTGTGCAACTCCAGTTCCTTCTCTCTTGCTCTTCCTCTGTGGCACCGGTTTCCCCAGTAGAAGAACCAGCTATAATATCATCCTTTTAAATGCAGTTGTGAAGGCTTGCTTTGCTGAGAACACATACAGTAAATGTGGGTATAAACGCTTTTATCTTTTAACATGATCAGAGTAATCGTGTGTACTGCCACACACTGGATGTAGGAAGTACACTGCACGGTTTACATTTGCAATATACATTTCCGTTAAATCAGCTCAGGAAACAATTGTCATGGCGAATCAGACACTACTTAACAAGTGTTTTATCTATAAGGTGGAATGAGATGGAATTATGAATATAAAGTCGTACCGACGGCTAATGTTGATGTGTGTTGCTTTTTGATGCCGAGAGGAAGAGCAGTGCTACGTCCACTGTTCCTGGGGTGGTTTCTGGGCGTGTGAGTGTTGTGAAGAGAGTTTTTAGAGAGGAAGAAACTCTGACATGTCGGTGGGCAAGGTGAAAGCTCTGCAGAGGGCTGGGGTGGGGACAGGTGTGCCCAGGAGCACTGACCTTGATATCGGAGGTGAAGTTGTTGATTTTGCCGACGCCTGCATTCTCCAGGTGGTAGTTCGCCCAGCGCAGCAGGAGCTCCTCAGGAGAGAGCTTCATCAGGTCCTCCAGGCTCTCTCCTTCTCGCAGCAGGGCGATGAGAGCTGCGCTCGCACACACACAAGACAAGGGTCAATCGTCGGCTCTGTCACGAGGCAGTGACACTCCTTCGTCTCCTGACACACTTATGGACGGACGCCATGATGCTTTGTAATGAGTGGGAACATGTCCAGGCATCATAGTGATCACTGAAGCATGCACAGTAACCTCAGCAGCTCAATACTAACTCAACACTGCAATTTCCATATCACACTTGTCGTGTTCAGACCTCCAGGTTGGTAATTTTGTGTTCTTGGGCCACATGCGCAAATCGAGCTACAGATTGCAAGACTTATGACATCAGGCTCAAATGTTTCACTGAGACCGGTCTTCCATTTTGGAGGAATGTTCCTGTGCAAAAGCGCAGCACATTTTTTTCTGATTTGACCGGAAAGCAATTAATGGCAAAGAGTGCTTCATGAGTGCCTGTTTACATCAGGTTTGAGCTTGTGAGCACAAACCTGTTATGTGGAGCTATGCTCTGGGTGCAAGTAAAGTTGCTAAAAGAGGAACTGCTTTCCTGAATCACCATGTACCTGTCAGGCGATGCACAGACCCTACATTGGTATCAGAGGACCATGATTCTTGACAGTGAGGCATGCTGTACCTCATGAATGAACGAGTGAACGAATTTTCTGCCGCAAAGACTCCTGACGGTTGGCTTACCCTCGTTCCTGCTGATCTCGATGTCCGCAAACAGCCCGATCTTGATGACCTGCCACAGCAGACCCAGCACCAGGTGGGGCTTGCCCTCCTTCAGGTCCTCAGCGCCGATGTTCACCACATGGCACCCGATGGCAGAGGAAGAATTCAGCGCCAGGTTCAAGTTTTCCTGCCAAAGAGAAGACCATGCTCCTTTACAGCAATGCCCCCATGTAGTGTTATGGAAAAGCAGTATGAGGTAATGATGCAGTTAAATGACCCCTGTATTAGCTGACAGATATCTTCCAATGATGGCAGGGAAGTCAGAGACAAGAATTTGTCGTTTCTTTAAAAATAAAATAATTCCATTGCGTTTAAGTGTGATACTGTATCACTGCTTTTCAATGAGCACTATGGTCACATGACGCAGTAAGAAACTAAAGATTTTTGCCTTTCCATTTATTTTTTTCCTTTTAATGCCTTTTGAATCTTCTTTAGGATCACCAGTTCTTTTGGGACTCAGCTTATGCTCTCAATGGGCAACATCCCTGGTTGACACCTCACGAATATTTCATCTGCGATTTTCAAATTCAATAAGACAAGAATTGCTCCGGGACACCCTGATCTGTGCAATGGAGACCATACATCAAATCAATTTAAGCACACAGCATAATGCTGACAACATGAGACAATTTACCTGTATGGTGAAAGGAGTGAGCTTCTTTTTGTTGATTGTTCTTTCATCAATGGTGTCAGGAACAGAGAGGTTGATCATCTTACTGGAAAAGATAAGTGAGAGGTTAGGTAATGTGTAACAAGACATCAGTCTGGGATGGGACAAACAACTGTCCTAAACCAAACTGTTAAGTCTTAGTAAAATGGCACAAATTTCGTACCTGAGCCAATGACCAGGCTGTGCCAGAGGAAACATAAAAAAACTTTAATCATTAAGCCTCTGCCTTATTGTCTTTGTAATGACGCTGTTTGTAATGGTTGTGCACTATGAAACTCATATTGTTGGGGAACATAAAAGCAAGCCAAAATTAAAATAGGCTACAGACAATTTGATTTGTAAATTAACTCATGACATACTAATGTATATTAAGAAATATATTTTTAATTAACAAAATATATTTGACAGTATTTCCCTATATATATTTTGTGAAATTCCTGTTTTTACATTTTCGCAGTAATGTAGGTACTCTACGTCACAGAGTGTGCACAGGAAGAGGTGAATATGTTTATCACCCACTCCATTCCAATGTGGAAAGGGTGTAGATAGAGCTGTATAAGAAAGACACCCCACACCGAGGAATAAGAAAAGCACCTGATATGAGAACATTTCCCCCACCTTCTCCTCTTCCTCGTGTTTCATTAAGTCATAGTTTAGACTACCCACTAGATGGCGCTGCACTGGCTGTTTAATGGTGTAGTTCAGTCAGGTGCAGGGGGCTCCAGAGACAACTCACCAGAGGACCAGCCCGTCCCCAACCGCGCTGAACAGGTCGTCACTGTTGGGATCCATGGGAAGAACATGCTGGCAGTCAGGGTCTTTTTCAAGCGCCTTATTTATCCAGTTGACAAAGGCGTATTTTTCTTCCTCTGCGGATAGAAAGAGGCGCTCTTAAAACAGGGCGGCCCTCAAGGGGCTTGGCTCCACCTTGGTTGGGGTTCCTGAGTGTTGCCGCCTCGGTTGGTCTGACCGTCCCCGAGCGTGCCTCCCCACCTGAGTAGGAGTGCTGTGTTCCCGCGCAGGACTGCTGCGACGTCCCTCCGACGGCGCAGATGCCCTCTTTCTTGTTGATGGCCTTCCTGAACGTCTTCGCCACCTCCGTGCTCTTCAGCCCGTGTACAACCTGCGGAGGAAGAGACGACAGCTTAGTGCTTTCAGCACACTGGGCCTCGGAAGACATGTGCTCTGATGGAGAGACTTTTTAAGAACTCAAAGCTAAGAGAGAGCACTTCTGTGGCTGATACGATTCTATTTACTCATGAGAATCGATGCATTAAAATTCAAATTTTCCAATGCATGTATGAAGTATTAATGAACGGAACACAATCATGTTCAGTATATCACTGGAGTGCGATGTGATGGGTGGCAAAGTGTAATTAAGCACACCTTTCCCCACTCTGTCCTCGCAGAACCTCTTTCTACATCCGAGTGCTGTTCTGGTTGGCCCTACTTGTGGTACAGCTGAGGGACAATCTGTGATTTTAAATGCATCTGTTGGCAAAGAGCCCCCTCGTGTTGAGGAGCAGACTGTGACATCCCAGAGCCTGAGCTCTAACACAACACTACACACCCATCGCTATCACCTGGTGCTTTTGAAAAAAGGCCAGAAAGACTTTGGGAAATTTCTGAAGTAATCACTTCAGTTAAAAAAAATACTGGAATTTCCAACTTGCTGGTTTCATGGTATTGTTCTTTTTTAGCATTTGCAACAGCGATTTAGTCCCTCTTGTGCAGAAAGTCTATTCCATTCCAAAAAGTTGCGAAGGTAGGCAACACACACTCATTCTATAGCATTTTCTCAACCGGACAGTGCCAACCTGACTGGATAACCTGCTCCCAGCTTGGGGCTCTCAATTTCCTTCCTGACGGACACTTTCAACTCACATTGATGAACTCGTCGAAGCTGATTTGACCGTCGTTATTCAAGTCCCCAGTGGCCATGAGGTTCTGAATGATTTCTCTGATTCTATACCCTGGCAGGGGCAGGTTGGCTGCCTTGAAGAGGTCATTGAGCTCATTGGTGCTGATGTACCCATTGGAGTCGACATCTGGATAAGAGGGAAGTCGGAGATAAGTGAAGAAATGCTTGCAAGAAAAAAGCACTCCGAAGGCAATGATTAGTGTCGTTTGACAGACTTGCACAATTTACTGGCCATCAAATAATGTGAACAACAACTAAAATATAGGCATTTAAAGTCATTTAAATAATAACCCATTTAAAGCATTGGGTTTGTAGACACAACGATAACATCAGAGAGTCATTGTTTTTCTGCAGAAACACTCATGTGAAACTGGTAAGAATAAACAGCCGATGAGGGCTGTTGATTTCACTCCACCGTGTGTTTTTGAGTAAGTGTGTAACAAATGTCCGTTGCACAAATAGAACCTTTAGTTCAGGTGGGGAGCTGTGTCAGCATGTGTAGTCTGCAAAGGAACAAGTAACAGGTTTATTCCATGCTGAAAAGACAAGAGAGAAGACACAACGTTTCGGCTGTGAAGCTGTTTTCTCTCTTCTCTTTTCAGCATGGAATAAACCTATTACTTGTTCCTTCATAGAACCTTTATCCTTTCTAAAGCAGACAGAAGAAAAACATGTAGCCAAAAAGGAACCCCCCTGCGTGCATATTTTCATTAACATTCGAGGTGACTTTGAATTTTAATTTTGCAGCCAGGGCTGATCATGTCTAAAATGCTCAGGGGCAGCTCTGAGGCAGCTCTGAGGCTCACCACATCCTGTGTGAGAGTAACAGTGAAAACAGACAAACCTGCAGATGGTAGCGATGTGCTGAGCTGACACTGAACCTGGAGCTCAGCATCAGTAGCAACGCTATCTTATTAATACAAGTATGTTTCAGTATATTAATACTGTATGTACATATAAAACAAACTTACTGAACATAATCTGTTTAAAGTGCCCCATATCAGTTATGCACACATTAGGTATGTGCTTATTTGACTACATCTTGTTTTTTGGAAGTCCAGATATTAGCTGACACAATCACCACAGATCTTCTTTACTTGTTGATACTGTTTGTGTGTGATTGAGCGAAACTCTAACTGAATTCTAGTTAAATTCGAATTGAACTGACCCCGTGTCTCATTTAACATATGACGACGAATGTGCAGCAGCCTGGCATCTTCGCACAAAGGATTAGAGGTTGTAAGGAGCGTCAGAGCAGAAAGCAAGCAGCAAAGGAAACACTTAGAAGTCATGCTCATGTTGAGATCCTGCATTTCTTCTCTGTATTGCTGTGTTTCAGCACTTGTTGATCTTTTTCTGCTACTACCCGCTGCATTTTTGTAAGCACACAAAGTATCTACTGCTGCTGTTGCTACTACTCGTACTACTGCTAATACTAGGCAGGCAGCACAGGGGCGCAGTGGTGAGCACTGCTGGGGCCCTGGGTTCAGTTCCAGACCTGGGGTTCTATCTGCTTGGTGCTTGTATGTTCTCCCTGTGTTTGTGTGGGTTCCCTCTGGGGGCTCAGGCTTCCTCCCACAGCCCAGAGGCACGGCTTCTATAAACCTTTGCCCTCGTGCAAGCGCGTGTCTGTGTCTTACAGGATGCCCCCTGCCTTGTGCCCGTTGCTTGGCAGGACAGGCTCCGGCACCCCCGTGTCCCTCTGCTCGCTGAGAATAAAAATAGCAATGTGCTGAAAACGAGCAGGAATGGATGTTGAGCACTTCTTCATGCGTCAGGCCTTGCGCAGAAGCAGCTTGCAGCCCAAGGCTTAGGGGGGCCTGTAAACAGTCCAGTTTCTCACCAATCTTTGAGAAAGCTTCTCTCATCTCCTCCATTTCCTCCTGGGTGATCTGGGCAGCCATCTTTCCACTGGCTAATCAATCAAGGACCTGGAATGACACCATCTAGCTGCATCAGATCGTAGTTCTCTTAAAACATGCTGGTTATTTGGGGGTTCTGTTAAACTTTATATGGCGACAGTGGTACTGTAGAGGTAGCTTTATTGGATAACAGAATTTAAATCAGCACAACAGACTCGATTATAGACCTGTTGTGGACTTGGTCACGTGATGTGCTGAGCTAGCAGTGTTTTACTCCTCTCAGTGTTTCGCAGTCCAATGGTCCAAGATTGCTCCTTCCTGGGAGAATGGAAAGGAACCACAAAAAAGCTCTGTGGTTTAGAAAGAGCCAATTAAATCTACTTTTGGTGACAATAATACGTCTTGTATCAGCAATGGTGAAAACAATTCTATCATTTTACTTGCACAGTGCATGGCAATTTCTAAAAGATAAAATCCAAACAACTTATCCAACACACAAAAAAGAGTTCTCCAGTCCCTTTAAAAAAGCAGTTTCTTCTGGGCTTCAAAGAAGGGCAGATATTTTTAATCTGGAAACTTCCTAGCACATCAAAAGAATGGTTGCTCTTTACTTCATGGCATGTGGTCAGAAGTTCCCCTTGAGTTTCGTTTTGAAACTTCCTCTAAAGCGCAACTTCCGCTTGAGCTGGGTTCTTCTGCAACTGTTCTCGCATACAGTGAGAAATAAATTCAGCCTGTTGTTATGGATAAACATGCTTACACAGCTCTATGTCCATAAACCCAGTTCGTCCCACATTCAACCAAGTTGATCTGGACTACGCTGTTGGTAGCAACAGGGGGTTCAAAACCACTGGCTCCTCTTCCACCATTGGAAACTTGTTAGATGCCCTGTTAGACAGGCAGCCTCTTCGCTCTGCACACTACAATCGTTACATGTTCTCTACAAATTGTGCTACCAAGCAGTATTACAGTATGTTTCTCTTGACAATAGTAGTAATCCTGTTCACTACTATAAATATCATTACCACACAATAAATATGGCACATTAAAATAATTCAACAGTAAAGTCATTTTATATCTGATATGAGGTTGCTAATTGTTGTCTTTGCACACCGCACAACAACACTTTCACAACTTCATATATACAGTATATAACAGTAACCAAAACACTCTGCGGATTAAAAAATGAAATCAGTCCAAAACAGAAAGCAGTCATTTAACCTTGCAGCTTGTACTGTCATTATCGTTAGCAAAGTCAATGGTATCTAAGCCCCGTATTAGGAGCGAGATGGTTTTATCATGTCAAAGCTCTGCAGTAACATATTTTCTTTCATGCTTTGACGGAAATGACTACAACCGAAAGAGTCAGCTTTCTGATTTCGGCATGCTGCTGTTCCTCTATGCACTCTATAGATTTTTCGAGTCACACTAGTGAAGCCACAGAACCGCTGGGACATGCTGGGCTGGCAGGAAGTGATCATGCAGTTACAGGAAGCAGCCATTTTAAACTGAAATTTCATTATGTGCCCCTCAAAATGTGCTTAACCACAAAGGTAAAAAAAACCCTGATGCGGTACGCAAAAACAAGATTTCATTCGAGAGCTCAGATCATGATCATTGCATGGGCCTCAGTGTTGTTTTCTTCTGCAAACGCTTTGAAACAATAGGTGTCTTGAGAGCACTGTGACATCACCTTTTTTATTTGGAGACAGACAGTATGATTGACATGCAAATACAAATACTTTGCTCCTGATTGCACATCAGGAATGATGTGATAAAGAAGATGACAACTATAATAGAAAAAGAAAGAAGACATGCTCATTTGCTATTTGCATTTGGAGAAAGATATACAAAGTAGACTTAGTGACACAACGTTGTGTCCTAAGGCACAACGTTGTACCCAAAAATATTCATGGGTGCCACTTTGTGACATGTGCTTATAGGATTAAAAAAAACACTGCCCACATCCTTATGAAGTGAGAGGAAGGCAACAATGCAGTGAAGGCACACCTCTTGAGTGACCCTTTCTGAGAATGGGAGATCATATTTCATCTTCTCTACTCACAACCATCTCACCAGCCTCTTAGAATGAGAGATGTGGAAAAGTTTTAATTTTATTTATTTTATTGAGCTTTTTTTTTTGAAGAAAGGACAGGGATATCCATAGGAAATTTTCAGTTTTATAATTCCTTCCGGTGTCTCAAGAAACCCATTTCAATGACTAGACTAGGTTTCCAGTTCCTTAACACAAACTGAGCACACGTCCATATAGGTAATCTCCCCACAGCACCGATTTTGAATATGCTGTCTTGTTCCTCCTGTGATACAGGCTTATGTTTTCTTTCTTTCATTCGGCAGCCCATTCCAAGCTCTGCTACTTGGAGACCGTCTCTCGCGCCTGAAGAAGGCTCCACAGCTGAAACGCTGAGTCTCTTCTCTATTTTTCAGCGTGGAATTAACTTTGACTTGTTCTTTTGCAGCCAGCATGCCCTGAAGCACCTCCCCACACGAGTGGCTTGAAGCTGTTGTTGGTGCCTTACTGCTAATACGATGATAGAGGTGGGACACCATAATATGGCAAGAAACTTACTGGAGCCCTTTTGGGAGAAGCACCTAGCTGAAAGGCACAAGAGCCTCATCTGCCCTGGGAACTGAGAACAGCAAGGCTCACAAGGCAAAGAACAGCAATTGCTGATAAGCAAGGCCTCACATGCATGACATTGGAAGCCAAGCAAGAACACAGACTTTCTCTTATAGACCTTAGCTCAAACCCCTAGTAGCACTTCATCTGCCATACTTTCATGTTCTCTCCTTGAGGACAAAAGGCTCTAGTGGCCACCACACGGGACTGGCAGAGATTTGGTGTTCTTGAGATGGTGTGACATGTCAGTGTAAGGGATGCCATACCGTAAGCAGGGGAAATTAAGAACTTTCTTGAAAGAGCCATCAGTCTATAGGCAAATGCTGGCTTCTGTCTAACCCCATCATTTTACTTTGTGGTCAGAATACTGGAATCACACAGTGCAGTTCTTCTTGATAATAAAGACTGCTTCCCCAAAAATGTTCACCACCACCAGAAAAAGAGCTGTCAATTAAAAACTCACATAGTTGGGAGTGCTTCCTGAAAGCATATACACTTCTGACTTGGAAGAATCAGACTTTCTGAGTGTTATTCAAACAAACGGACACCTTTGCTAATGAATAAAGAGAAGGTTGTTGTCCAGTTCTGATTTCTGATAGGCACAGTTTACTCTCACTGACTATGGGCTGCAGTTTGCAATTGCAGTTCATAAACCTTGGGTAAATAATCTTTAGGAACTATCCCTGAAGCTCTTATTTTATAAGGATCTTAAAACAAGGCATCCCGAGGCACGTGCATAGATCCCAGGTGTGCTGGCAGATTGGCCAGGTGGTGAGATTGCAATCACTGACACTGAGAATTCTCATGGCCAAATTGACCAATTCCAGTGGTAAAAAGCTGAGTACTTTTCCCAGTATCATTAAATCAGTTCCCTACTGCCAACTCATTTTCCTTCTGACATTATTTGTAAACCCTAGAGGAAAAAGAACAAAAAAATGACTTTCTCAGAAAAATCGAATGCATATCCAGAGATGACAAAGGGCAGGTCCAGTTCCTTCCCACCTATTTGGTTAATTTGTCTTAGAGTTTTCACTATCTTCTTCTGCCACATTTTTCCATGGATTTCGTTTCACTGCCCTTTTACTGCCATTTACTTTGGTTTACTGCAGCTGGTCTTGGCACAGCACCATACTAAAATCACCACAGTGGACCACAGTTCCTCATAAGTGAAAACCTTTTCCCTAGTAGTTAAGTGTCAACGTAGGTGTTATCTAGGAATCAAGGAGGTAACAGTAATAATGAAAGGATCCCCTTTCACACACCATTTAAAATTCGGAACCTGGACTGTTTTGAACATTCCCTCATCAACTCATTTGGCCCAAATCTCCCCAAATCTCCCATGTCACTGTGTGAATCATCTCCTGATCAGAATCCCCGTAATGTAATAAGCGAGGGCTCTGGAATTCGTTTGTTAAAAAGAATAAACTGAAATAAAACTAAAAATAGAACATACTGCCAGGTTTCCGTCTGTATTTGTCACACTGCCCCAGTAAACGGTTCACAAGCTGTGAGGTAGAGGACACCTAGTCAGCCTAATAGGACTAATCTTTACTCATCTTTACTTCCTTTTCAATTTCAATAGTCTTGAAATTCAGGACAGTAAAAATAACCATTGCAATAGGAAAGTCCCAAAGTGCCTAGAGATCAAATACAAAAACTTCCCTTTATCGTTTTCTTTCAACCTAGAATAACTGCCTTTCCAGTCGAAATGGGTGATGTAGACATCAGGACATTTTATGTCAATACCCAGCTTTATCACTGCAGTCCTATGTTTTGTAGATCTAAATGCACGCAGAATCTTTCCTACTCTTTCCTAACATTGGAATGGTTCAACCGGAGTTGGGCAAGGCCTTGTTATCAGTTCCTAAGTGTCCCCTGAAAAGGGGAAAAGGGGAAAGAAGACTTTACTGCATAATACTGGTCATGTCAAGGTTGTTTAGATGGACACCAGAAATCTTTCTGCTCATGGAGTACATCTAGTTTAAATCTACATCTTAAAACTTCTTATGTATAGTGTGCTGTGCATGTGTGATACCTTCAATGCTAGTTCTGAGGCAACCTGAATGCAAATATAGAATCTACAAATCAATCAAGGTTTGCATGGGATGCTGAACGTAATAGGATGTTTATCGCTATTGTCCTTTTAAGAGTCTCTTCCTTCCCCCAAAGCAAATCAAGTTAAACGCAGTGGCAGTGAAGAGGTGTGCTTTAAGCTATTAAACTTGTCTCTGTCCACTAAAAGCCCCTGTGCAGGCAGTGAACTATAAGAAAAACTCATGACCTCATGTGTTTTATAAAGCCTCCATATATAAAAGGGATTTAATAGTGCCTGCAGTATGTTTTATGTTTAAGTCATTAATATACATGAACATACATTTTTTTAAAAAACAATTTAATGGACTTACACTTTCAATCTTCATTAAAAGAATAATTCTGTTTGTTAAAGAGAGTTTAGTTTAACCGAAATACTAACACTGTCACAGTGGAAGAGCCCAAGATCACGTCTTGGCTCCAGAACTACTGGGACAAGAATTTTGTTGCGTTAAATAGATTAAGAACACAAGAATGGCTACAAACCCAAATGAGATTTGACCCAGCTAACCTATTTGGTAGTAGTTCTTCAGTAGTTCGACGGCTTGGCTGGGTAGCTTGCAGAAAACCAGAAAACCATAGCCCTTATTTGTCCGAAGTAGGATTCAAACCCACACTTCCATCTGGACACCCAGTTTTCAAGAAAGATCCCTAAACCTTGCATCTGATGCCTTCAACGACTCTACCACATTGCCAACCCGACACTTACAGAATAAAACAGTTTGACTGCTGTAACGGTGTTATCTCAACACATTGGCTAAATTGACAACCACAAAAGCTTTTGAAACCACACATGATTTTGACAACTCAGGAAAGTCCTCTGTATCACAAGAGCAACAAAATGACACAAAAAGCCTGCCAGAAAGTTGACCAGAAAGGCTGAGAAACCCTTACAGAAATTAAGAACGAAATAATGACATAACAGCAGCAGTAACGTTTGACTTCAGTGCTGTACATTCAAAGAACTGGCTCCACGCCCTTGCATGACAAAAAAAAAAATCAGGCAATGTGCTCTCAGTCGTTCACCGTTTCAAAGTGCGACCACAAGCTTCCTGTTCGGCTATCTGCTCCACCTAATGTTCACAGTTAACCTGCATGTCAATAAGCCCCTGAACTCAACTAACAACAAGCAGAACACAAAACACTGGTCCAGACAGCGCAGCCCATCTGGAATCAGGGAGCAGGGTGTAGGCTTCAGGAGGTTACCTGGTTTCAAAGAGCTGGTGTGGTTCTCAGAGCGCAGCAAGACTCTCTGTCTCCCTCACTGCTTGACAGGCAGCACCGCCACTAAAAGTAAGAGCGACAGCTAATCTACTCGAGCTAAACAGGAAGGAAGCGACAAGTGACACATCACTTACAGAATGAAAGATTTTGTCTCTATATAAGGTAATATGGGTTTCAGAAGCAAAGCTTTCCATGCTTTGTATTAATATTTTAAGCACTCTAAAACATCTTCTACGGTTTGTCTGCTGGCGCTTAGCTTTATGTTCTGGTAAATGGAAAACGGTTTTTAAGGGCCTATTCTTTAAAATTCACCACATTTTATAGGACTCCCTTCAGTGGGTCGAGACACTTACATAAGCATATCAAGGCGGTGCCAGCAGGGGAAGATGCTGAAGATTGTTGGAGATGATTTTATTTCATTTGTTTAATAAAACTTAATTAAAGAGATTCAGATATACCACCTGTGCACTACAGACGTCTGTGTTACTAATGGAATAACATTTCTGAAGACATCTGTATAAAACATACAGATCACTTCAGTAAATCTCATCCCAATGTATGAATAGGAAACAGGGGACACACTATTACTGTATTGGACTAATCGCTTTAATATGTAATAATGTGTAATATCACATTTCTAACTCTCATGCAATGAACTAAAAATTCTACAAATTGTACAGCTAGTAGAATTATACGTGTGCAGAACAACACATTCATCGCAGGGGAACAGCACACTGTGAAAATAAAGAACAAATGAAAACCTAACTATTGATGTGTCTTCTGTTTTTCGTTCCGACCCCATTACTCTAATAATTTATTTCCTTGCATAGACACATGTATACAGCACACACTGCACCAACAAGCAAAGAGAAAGTGGTGAGCAGAGAGTGAAACTGTATTATATGATATGTGTTGAGAGCTCTAATGGATTTGGACACTCAGCTCCACAGACGTGGTATTAAGCAGAGTGAGAAAACCTGAAACAGCAGATCAGACATCAACAGCTGGACTGTACACTCATCAACAATACTGTACTATAGGACTCTAATATACAGTATATAATGTACAAATTCACTGTACTTGAATTACAAATCTAAAGTTGGGGATGATATTTGATCCAGGATCGACGTTTGACCCACATGTGCAAAATACTGTAAGGCTAGAATTCGCCAGAATGATGACCAGGTCTTGTGCCAGTGATCACTTTACTCCTGTCCTGGAGTCCCCGCACTGGCTTCCTGTCAATTTTTGTGTTGACTTCAAAATCCTCATGCTCACCTATAGGCCACTACGTGGCTTTTTACCTCAGAACCTGCTGAATCTATCGCCTACTCCCCACCTCACAACGTTCGATCCTCTGACGCTGGTCTCCTGTGTGTCCCCCAAGGTCGTTTACAGTTGCCTTCGCCTGCTGCACCCCAAAGCTCTGAAATTCTACCCCTAAGGAGACTCGAGACCTACTTCTTCAGAAAGGATTCCCTTTCAAGGGGTCTGTGTGCCCCTTTGCATCTTCTCCAGCACTTTTCCATGTTTCCATGTTTTTATTGGAGCACATTTGATCTCCTACCTCAGTTAACTCTTTTTTCCCCTGTAACGCTCTTTGAGAAGCTGCTTTTAAAGCTGCTGTACAAACTTTTTAAAAAAATATATTATGATAAATCTGGCCTTGAAATAATCTGGAAATTCACAACCCTGTGCCCTTGAGTGTGCAGACAAACCTGACAATTGACTCACTGGGAGCTAGGGCAGTTCACAGACGACAGGAGCCGAGAGCAGACGAAGAATTTTTTAGGGGATTTGTGGGGGGAACGTTTAAGTCAGTACGTGAATTCTGGACATACCAAAGCCTGTTTCAGTACCTTAGATCCGGTTTTATCTCATCAAGTTTTATGCTTTTTGATCATGCAGTTAAATAAAATATTTAGACCAACTACATAACCAAGACCTCTGGAGGTACAGCAGGCCCTGAAGGAACTGTGTGTGGAGAACCCCAGTTTTGCCCAGCAGACTATTAACCAGCCCACTGGAGAATGGCAGGCTCACAGGGGCTGAATTTGGGGCCCCACCCCCGTCAGCCCTGCACCCCACTCACGTGGTGCGGTTGCTAGGGCTGTCTCCAAGGACGCTGCAGTCCACCGGAGCCGCGTGTTGTGTTGCTGGCGAGTTATAGTGAGTTATAGTTTGTAACGTAGATATTTTAATATATTTTAAAGGGCGTTTTTAGGATTATAATATGTGTTGGCTGTCACATATTTACCGTTTACGTCTGGGGAAACTGGAATTGTATGTTTATTTCGCTTTTGTTTTTTGCGTGTGCTGTGCAAAGAGGCATTATGTGTCGCATTTTAGCAAATTTGTATTTGGTGTAAAAAGTGGGCGTCTTCAACAAAATCGTGTTACATTCTTCGCGTTACGATAGCGAACGGAAGAATAGTCAAATTCGCCGGGAAAGGCATGAGGACCATTAACGTGAACAGCGGCAAGAGAACATACAAGTATGATCAGCTACGCGAACCTGTCGTTCTGGAAAACAGAAGTTAAAAAGAGCGAAACTACATTTCACAGACTTCAAGGAATCCAGGTCCCGGCCGACACGACTCTTTGTAATCTGTCACTTGTAACAAGTCCTGACTTCCGCCAGGATTTTTGCCTGGTGTTTCTGAACCAAGCAGGAACGACCCCCCTGCGTGTATGATTTAATGACTTGTCTGTCTCTGGACATTGTGTTTTTTTCGAGGAACGTGTTTTTATTCATGGTATTATTCCCACCCACCTCCCCGTCAGCAGAAGCGCTTGCAATACAGAAACATCATAATTATTCCGCAGTGCATCCATTTATTCAGAGTCGTTTTCCACCAGGTTCGTCCGGTTACGGTCCTGGCGACAGCAGGAGAAAGCATGGCCCTGCTTGTCCTTCCTCGGGGCACGACGAGATGAGGACTCCGTGCGGACACGACATCCAGGATGTCTGAGGACACAAAGCTCCTGAGAAGGCCGTTACCTCCTAAGACATTGCCGGCCCTTCGCCCGGTGTCGCCCGCTAGGAGACCTGCAGGTCAGGGTGAGTCCCCGGCTCCTAACGAAGTGCTAACCCATCCACTCTGGGGAGCCGTACCCCTCGATCTGATGAGACCTCCCCCACCCCCGGTGATCTCTCAGTAATGTTCCACGTGTTGCACGTACACGCTCCCACGATGCTGTGTTTGCATCGCACATGTTTGTAGATGCCGGGTCAGTCGTACACGTACACAGCCGCAGTTCATCGGGCATACCGATGAAGCCGACCTCAGCTGGATGGGATCACATCAGGGATCGGTTCATTTTAGTTTCATCCTGCGGGGATCGAGCTCACCTGTGCCTCCTGGTTCACCTCTTTGTCGGACACCCAGTCTTCCCACCCAAACTGACGCACTAAGGTTGCGAGATCGGAATGAGAGGGACTCTGTTTTGTAGTTCTCGCTTTTCATAAAAATAAATTAGGGAAACACGCAGCGGCTATCAAAAGTGTTTCGCCACCCTTGGGGAATTTTCACATTTTGTTGCGCTACAAAGATGGAATCGTGATGTTTTGGAACTGAGCGACACAAAACACTCCGTGCCGTCAGAGTGAAAGCAAAATTAGAGATCCTCCCGAATCAATTAGAAATTTTAAAGCAGGAATCACCAGACTGCAAAAGTATTCACCTCCAACCTCGTGTCAGTGTTTGATAGAGGCGCCTTTGGCAGAAATTACAGCCTCGCGTCTCCTTGGAAAAGCCCCCGAATACGGTAGTTAATTTAGGAGGATAATTTACTCGGTTCGTCTATCAGCAAGCAGTTGTTCCCAGAGTCTGTTCCCCGCTCTGTCCGCTCTCAGTAAAGTGCAGCTCTGGGCTGTGTCGCTTGCGGGCTCGCTGACTCGGCTACCTTGAGGTACACGATCGCACTACGAGTCCCACCTTGCTAGCGCGACATCGCAGCCCCCTGCTGTACACAGCTCCCAGTGATAAAAACAATGGCAGGATCACTCATTGTGTTGTGTTTTCAGGTTCTTGGGAGTGTGCACTGCTGTAGTCACTTTGCATCAGTTAATAGGCGTTTTAAACTAAAAGGAACGCGTACTACCGCTGACCATTTAGGGATGTGTTTTTAGATGTTCCGCCAAGCACGGCAGGCAATTTAATAGCCCACAGGGAAGTGATTTTGAATTACATGTGTGTGTGTGCTTCTCACTTGTTCAAACCATACAGGGAGAGAAAACATCTGCTCGGATTGCTTCACCGGGCAAGTGTTATGTAACCTGTGACAAAATGGGGGTATCACAATAGTTGTGATTGTGTTATTGCGATTTCAGTAGCAGCTGAAATATCCACTGAATAACAAAATCATTGGAATGATAGAGTGCTCTTGTATTTTGTAGCGTATTTCTTAAAAATAGAAGACGGTGGGTCATCATCTTCCTGTTTAATAGTTTGGTGTTCAAAACAGCTGTCTTTCCCTTTGCCTTCTGTGTCCTTCTTCCTTTGCAGAATCAGTCTTTAACCCACTGCCGCCTGTTCAAAGAAAACCTGCCCCAGATGGCAGAACGGAGGTGATGCACAGCTGCAACCATGCCAGTGTGCCTTTTGCCTCGCCAGTCCACCAGGCCGTGCCCAACCCCAGGAATCGACTGGCTGTGATCCCCAAAGGTCCCGGTGGGTTCCCCTGCAGGGCCCCGCGCACCTGGCCACAGGTGCACCTCCTGGGGACCCTGCAGGACGACCCTCGTTTCTGTTCCCAGCCGCCGTTCACCCTGAACGACTTTATGGGAGGCCGCTGCTCCTGCCCGAGGCTTCGGATGCAAACGCTGAAGCAAACTGTCTTCTCGCGTGAGAACTACAGAAAGCTGGTGGAACTGCTCCTCGCTGAGCTCCACAGGGGCAGGCGGCCTGACGTGTCCACTCAAGTGCTGTCCAGCGACTCTGTGCCTGTGGCCACAAAGAGGACCCCTCAAAGGCAGATCATCTACGGTACTTTAATATCAGCATTATTAACATTCTTAAAAATCAGTTTCTGCCAGTGCCTGACAGTGTATATGATAGGGGCATTAGAATCCCGTCCAAACTTTGGCTTTTTTTCTGAACCTGATATAGCAGTTCTATTTTTCACCAGCTTGACGTGTATATTCTAACACTCTGTGTGCGGTGTGTGTGTAATTCAGAAGGTGTGCAAAGAGTTCATATGGATAAAACAATTTCCAAATGAAAACTCGTCTTAGGGTTTTGAGTTTTGACAGAAATAAAAAAAAATGATTGCATGATAGGTTTCAGGTTTAAGGCAATTGTAAATACCACTGTGAAAATATGGCATTCTGTTTTTAATATTAATGGCATCAGAACTAAAAATGAATCAGGTTGGCATTAGAAATAGACATGACACACCTTCAGGGTGATAAGAGGACTGAAAACTGATCAATCCATTAACAAAAGCTTTCATTTTTCACCTTCTGTGTTTGCGTACTCTGCTTTATGAAGAGCTAGCCGCTTTGATAAGAGAGCAGGTAAGGAGTCAGACTTCAGCCAAGAGCTCCCACCGGGAAGACAGAGATTCAGCTGTTGGATGTGGCTCTAAAAGAGTTTCCATATCTGGGCAAAGAGAGGCTCTTCAGACACTAAGTTCCTCACAAGAACATCCTGGTCAGTATTAATAGAAAACTCGCATTCACTCTAATCTTTGTAGCTTTTAACTCAAATTTTAGCTAGTACAGTAGTCTGTTTTCAAATAAATCAAGCATTATTAGATTTACAGTCTGTTTAAAACAGTTCTATTACATGTATAAACTAAGAACATCCAGTTGATCGAGTTGATGAACCTTTTTTTATATTACTTAATAAACTCATTTTTTATTTTTGTCAAAATTAAAAAAGGCAATAAATCCCATATAGACACATATAGAAATGTAGGAGAGGGATCCGCAGTGAGTAAATCCAACTAATTGTTTTTTCCCAATATTAAAATAAGAGCAACAAATGTAATCGTGTAATGTACACTATTATAAAAAGTATAGTGTTTAAATAGTGTATTACATTACTCATATTTAGAGAAGCTAAAACAAGGGCTAAATTTAGGACCTGAGCAAGAGGCAGATCAGCTTTATGTGAAGTAAAGTTGTGTTCAAAATAAATGACAACAAAGTGTGTGTTTAGAGCATTTCTGAGCGTGTGTAAAATGCATATAAACAAATATATTTGTACTTCATCTTATGAGTAAGCTATAAGCAGTATACGCAACTCGTAGAAGCACCACATGTTCAAACTGTAGCTAGCTGCATTGCTTCAGGACACAGGGATTTCACATATGGGAACTGAAGCAGAAAAACACAGAAGATTCAGAACTGAAGCAGAAATACACAGAAGATTCAGAACTGAAGCAGAAATACACAGAAACCTGAGGTTAACATGACGTACAACGGCTCTCTGTAGAAGTAATAATTCCAAAGTGCTCTAAATGTACGTGAGATATTTTTGATTGTACTAAAATCCATCCACTTTAAGGTAACCGGAATAAAATCCTTGATTACATTCTCTAGGATCAGAAATCATTTTGAACTCCGTTACCACAAGATATTTTCAAGGGTCCCGGCGCAGCCAGTCTCCTTTTCTTCAGGACGATCAGTGTGGTGTCATTGGGCCCTCGGAGCTGGCCATACTGGACTGCCTGGTGCAAGGAGGCGTTCTCCTGAGTCTGAAGGTGATGGCTCTTCGTCTACGGACCACAACGTGATGTCACATCATGACTTACACTGACTAGTACCTTTCATTTACAAGGCTCTCGTTGAACTTTTTCGGTCAGCGTAATTGTAAATACCTTGAAGGAGCACATACATTAGACGAGCAGTATATCAGATTGTGTGAGCCCAACTTAAGACCCTAGTAAGATGCTGAAGGTTGTGACAGATGTACAGTAAGTCAAGATAAGAATATGGTCAGGGTCAAACTGTGAAGTTATTTAGTTTGGACCTGCATCAATAAATAATATGTTTTTCTGGGTGCACACAGTGTACAGGGATCATAACTCTGATATATGTAATATTTGGATATTGATTTATTTATGGATATTAATTTAATTCTGTATTTACAACACTTTAATTGAACAACGTTATACAGTGTATGGTTTGCGCAGTTACTTAGATGTGTGTGAATATCTAAAAAAACGGACTGGTCTTTAATGTCGTGTGCATAAATAGTGCAGTCACAGTCTCATTCTGTTCTGACAACATTAGGATTTAATATTTGGAAATACTCTTCACAGTCAAAACATAAAGCAAAAAACAACCCCATCAGAATGGAGCTGTGGAGCTTCAGAAAGAGGAAGCATACACATTCAGTATATACAGATAATACAGCTTATTTGCATTGCCCTGGAATCTGTTTGTGATAGTTAAGGCTGCAAAGTAACACAGTGAAGTATCAAATATTCTTAATTCCAATCCAGAGAGAACCCGGCACACTTCTGTTTTTACTTCTCTTTTTCTGCTCCTACATGAATGTCAATTTGTAAAAAAATGAGGATGTAATACAACTAGTAGTGTATTCGCTGTTTGATTTAATTGCACCGTGTGCATTAATGTTATTAATATTAATCTTGTTTGACTTGCATGAGTAACTTATTACTGTGTGTTCTTGGGCCAAAGAAACAGTTGAAAAGGCTATCGGAGTTCTGCAGAGGGAGGGAATGACTGTTAATGTTTTGAATTGGGCATAATAATATTAATAATAATAATAATAATTGCTTACACTTATATAGCGCTTTTCTGGACACTCCACTCAAAGCACTTTACAGGTAATGGGGATCCCCTCCACCACCACCAATGTGCAGCCCCACCTGGTTGATGCAACGGCAGCCATAGTGCGCCAGAACGCTCCCCACACACCAGCTCTCAGTGGGGAGGAGAGCAGAGTAATGTAGCCAATTCATAGATGGGGATTATTAGGAGGCCATGATTGGTAAGGGCCAGTGGGAAATTTGGCCAGGATGCCGGGGTTACACCCCTACTCTTTTCAAGAAACGCCCTGGGATTTTTAATGACCACAGAGAGTCAGGACCTCAGTTTTACGTCTCATCCGAAAGAAATCACTGTGTGCTGAAGAATCGTTCTGGATGTTTTTTTTTCTCCGATAGTCAAACCCAGGGGACACAGTAGTAATGGGGGTGAAAGGATATGAAACACCTAAGAAATGACCCACTACAGAAATGCAGAACACGAAAAACTTCCTCTTCAAGTTGTGCATTAGTAAAGTATTTATTTTCTTCCCCAGGCTCATTTTATTGCTCGGGTTCCTGATTTGACACCGCTGGCTCACAGTTTGCTTTATCTAAACCTTTCATTTAATGAACTGAATGTGTTTCCTACAGAGGTGAGATAGTCATTCTTGCTATGTAAATATTAGTTTGTATTCAATATTTATTGTCTTTATATGCCATTTTCTTTCCAATATAGTAGTGAAAAGTAATGAATTAACAAGGTTAGGGGACCCTCCACAATTTCCCCATTAAAGGTTCATGAAACTTATTCCTGGATGTATTAGAAAGTGATAAACCAAAAGCTAAAATCATTATACTGAATATAAACCTTGACTTTCCAATCAAGAGATTAATTTTTGGATTGATAACCTTTGTATGGATGGGAAGTTTAAAAAAGTTTAATTCAAGAAGAAGACTCATTGGTGTGCCTTAGATTAGCTTTTTTTTAATAGAAAATCCAACACTAGGTGATAACAGACTGTATATCACAGGTCCTATATAATTTAAGGACTTGAAAATATAAAAAGTTAAAGGTTTGAAAAAATAAAGAATAAACAAGACCAAAAGCTAATTCAACAAGACCATAAGCTAATTATACATCTGTTATGGTTGATTCTTTCATTGGAAATTGCTTTGCTTTCTTATTTTCTCAGGTTTATGACATCCCATGCTTAGAGGTGTTAAAACTAAGAGACAACCCCATTAAAGAAATTCCAGACGGTATACACAAGCTGTCAAAACTGAAGACCTTTGTCATTTCATTCTGCTTAATTTCAGCCCTTCCTCTTGGGTGAGAGCCTGAGTTTATCTCCTTTTATTGTTTATAGATTTATAGATACTATATATATATTATATTAACATGAAAATGTTCCTCAAAATTAATTAATAGATGGAATGATCGGTTGAAATTAAGCTTAGTTTATCTCAAATAAGATGCAGATGAAACCTAGGTCATAGAAAATATGGAAGGGCATTTTATTGGTTTGTATTTGTATTACATAATGCAGATTAACCATCTCATCACAGAAATCTGAAGAACATTTGGTAGAGAAATGTTTGACAGCGTTTTAGAGATTTGTTAATAAAACTTTCGTCCACTGATGCAATTTATGTTTCCTAGGTTGTTCTCTTTACCGTGCCTGCAGTTCCTGGATGTCTCTTACAACATGATTTCAGCCATCCCCAGTGACATGAGGAATCTCAGGTATCGCTCGTCAGCATATGGAAAAAAATGACATGCTGAGGGTAGAGGTGCTCACACTCCTATTAAACAGATCTAAGATGCTTTAATATTGTGCTGTAATTTGGAGTCATAAATAGAAAAGTTGATAAGTAAACCAAGTGAGAACGGAGAAAATGCCAATCCGTGATCTGGTTCACCTGGGCAGATTTCCATAAATGCTCAGGGTGGGTCACTGAACAAAGCAACAACGTATCTGTAATTCATCCTCTCTAGATTGTTCCAGACTTCACAGTAATGTGCTGTTAAGTGTTAGAGATAGTTATTTTTAGTACAAGTGCTGATTGGATGCAACAGAACTTCCCAAAAAGAACAAGAAGTCATTTCCATTCTTCCTGAGCTTTTAATATACAGATGGAACAAATTACATTTCCGAGGACTAAATTTACCATTCTCCTTGGTTTGTAAGATGCTAAAAATCACTAAACTTTTTGACCTGTGGTCGTCCAGAATTCTTAGTGTTTGTTTTTTGCTAATTATTACCCGTGCTAATTGCCCAAACACAAAAATAGCATTTGAAAAGCCTTCAGGAAGCTGAAGGAGAGCAACTGAAATGAGGAAGTACCATGTGCCTGTGCCACGCTAGTAGACGCTTCTGCATATTACTGCACCATGATTACACAGAATGAGCAGTTTTATAAATAGTGCTTGTAAGCTGTGGCAGGAGTGAGGCGAAAAGAGATTTGCACGTTATGGCCCCTTTTCTGTGACGTTCTCTGTCGAAATGCCGACTTTTCAGCTTGGTCTGTTCTCTCCCGCAGGGCCCTTGAGTACCTCAATGTGGAGGGGAACCAGCTGGCTGCTCTTCCCTGTGGGGCTCTGAGGCTCTGTCTGAGGGAGCTGCGAGTCTCCAATAACTACATGCACCCCTACTTCTGGACAGAAAACACGCAGAACCAGCCCCAGAGGCTCGTCCACCTGGCAGCCCTCTGCTTCTCAGTGTATGGTCTGGACCGGCGTTACACCAGCCTACCCTGTGACATCCAGCAAACCCTAAATAAGTAAGGGCTTCGCCTTCGGGTTTCTGGGGGTCCTTACTGTCACCGTCCACCATCTCTCATATTCTCCAGAGCAGTGCAGACAACTCTTAATTTACAGGCTTGCAACGTGAGTGGTTTTGTTGTAATGCAGCTCGGGACACTATACCACTTCTTATTTTAGGACGCTACTGGTAATCACTTTAGCACACTTTGGCGAAGCCAGCAACAGCTGACGTGGAGGAACAGCACGTGCTGCACTTGAGATGAGTGGCGGCACTCGTGTGACACAACGCAGCACTCACCCGCCGCGGTTCGTCTCATCTTATCCAGTGGCTGTAGTTCAGAACGAAAGATCGGGAGGGGTGACAGCCGCCACGTTCAGTCGGCCTCAGCTGTCAGTAATCTGTCATCAGCCCCAACATCATTCCCTCACTTAAAACTTCTTCAGTGCTGTACGTGATCCCCTTCTCTTCTGGGGTTCTGCCATCTGGTTCACGGTGGATCTGGAAAGCAGCCTGCCCATTTACAGGCCACACCCTCGCAAACGTCTTCTCGCCTCCCACCTCCACCTCTGCAGCTGCCCCTTAGCCACTCCGCCCTGTGCACGGGGGGTCCCAGCCTCCTACGTTCAGTACGTCTGCTGCATGTAAACATCTTGCACGAGGAAATCTGTCGTCTCGGGGGGTTCTACCATCCGGTTCGGAGTGGATCTGGAATGTAAAACCCCCCTCCCTTTATTACAGGCAGTCTTCTGGAAAGTTAGCTGTTCATCCTGAGATTTCTGATTTTGAGATTTTGAATGGCTCGTTTTGACAACTGCCTGTACGGTCAGTCGTATCTTTCATCTTCCTTTTGCTTCTGTGGCGTCTCACCCTGTATTTAGGCTACATTATGAAAGGCAGGTCATCTCACGGAACGTCAGCCATACAGCGATTTACAGGACAGTAGTGCCATACGATTCGGCTTGTGTGATATCAGACTTCTGACATTTTTTATGTTGAATTTTGCTCCATAAGTGTGAATACGTGCGACTGCTGCAGAGGGCCCCTTTTCGGTCCTGGACTGCGGTTGATCAGGCCTTGTGAGAAGATATTTGGAGTCCGAAAAGTACCTTTCCTGTTCTCCGCCTGTTCCCCGTCTTGTTACGAGAGCTTCACCACTCAGACTGAGAACCTCGTCCAGCTACTTTATGGAGAATCAGCATCACAAAACAGTTAATCCAGCAGGTGAAATGTATGTTTCATAGCAGATAAAGGCTCTCTTTGGGGTTTTTTTTCTGACATTTACTGTAATGTACCTTACCCTTATTAAAAAATGATAGCATCATCTTCTCATTTCACACAATGGGAAACCATAGGAAGGGTCTGAATTCTTTTGTTGCTCTGATATTTTTAGTAAAGTAAATTTTCTATCAACAGGAGATGTTGGTCTAAGCAAAGAGAGGCTGACAAGAACAACTTCTGAAAGAAGCAGAGAACAGGAAGTGAAGAGGTGAAGACGGTAAAAAGGATGTGATCTGCAAAACTGACAAGATAAAGAATACTTGTGAGACCAATTTAATAGCAGTGTTGACATTTTTAAACTTGGTGGAAAATTAAGAAGGATCTAACAACAAGCAAAGTCATCCATTCCTGTTTCCATGTTGAAGTCTGGTGACTAGGTCATTTAAGCTGATGGCAAATGTTTTTTTGCAAACACATCGCTTGAAGAATCTGAAGAAACTGACAATCCATAGGAACCGATTATAAAAATTGCTCTTCTTTTTAAGGCCACAGAAGACGTTGGGTAACCAAATAAAAAAATAACACTTTGTTTTTATGATTTATTGGAACCGATCTGAAAAAAAAAACCCTGTATAAGTCAAATAAGAACGTCAACAGGGAGGAGCAGAGGCACTGTGGCTAAAGATCTGTGCCTCTGGCTGGAAAGTTGCCGGTTTGTATCCTGCGGCCGGCAGAGGAATCCCACTCCATTGGGCCCCTGAGCAAGGCCCTTCCCCCCAGCTGCTCCAGGGGTGCTGTATAAATGGCTGACCCTGCGCTCTGGCCCCCAGCTTCTCTCCCTGTCTGTGTGTCTCATGGAGAGCAAGCTGGGGTATACAAAATGACAAATTCCTAATGCAAGAACTTGTATATGGCTAATAAAAGTGATGTTCTAAATGAAGAATTTCCCTGCAGGGTTTGCTGCCCTGTAGCACCACGTAGTGGAGAACCATGATATGAACTGCTGAGCTGTGGTGAGAGGTGGAGTCGCTGCTCATCAGACGCAGTGTGGTCGGCGTCATGAAAGGTTCCCAGTTTTGTTCCTGCCCCACTGACTGCAGCACGTCACTTTCTTTCCACCGGTCATGCTGCAGTATCACTGTCGCTTCAGGGCTCAGCTTGTGTGATTGATGGCAGACTGGACTGCACCTTGCACTCTTGATCTGATGCTCGGTGTATGCCTTCAGCTATTGCCACTCATAGGGAGAACTATGTGTGATAATAGCTGAAGGTAAGCACGAACAGCAAAAGGCTCTATTATTTGTTTAATACAGAAGATTAACCATAACAGAGGAAATAAATTGCCAACATAATGAAAAACAGTCTCAGTAGATTGATAGTAGAACATTATGTATGATTAATTCTTGCCTCTCATCTGTACTGGCTGATGTCTTTCTTCACCTCCGCTGCGATATTTCTGTCATTTTCGTACTTCGGGAGTTCTGTACGTTGTGCTTTTGTCTCGCACCTTTTGTATCACTGTATCCTGACTCCAGTTTCTTCTCTTCAGGGCCACTTTAGGTGAGGAAAGCCATCTAGCTTGATGGCATTTCTGTGCCAAATGAGACAAACCCAAGCTAGGCAGGGCACAACAACCTTGGAGACAAGTGGGTATGGAAGAGCCACTTGAGTTTCCCTTGATCTAAGGGCCATACAAGATATTAATACACTGTGAAGTAACAGGAAAATTATTCTTCAGCAGATTTTCTTAAGTGAAATACCTCTTTTACAAAACCAAGCCCTGGGCTTCACCCTTCAGGCCATGTGAGACCTCCTTGAACTAGAGTCCTTGCTGCATCTTCAGCCCTGAATGATGGAGTTTCCATCAAGGTCTTTTAGTCTCCACATCAGCCTGGTTTTAAAGCTGGGCAGTCACTGGGGTTCTGTCCCTCACACCCTGCTTCCCCGTCCCTCCCTCACCCTGCCACCACCCGAGGCGTGGGCTTCAATTTGCCTTCTCATCCTACCATCTGGGAAATTGTGGACAGTGTGTCCCTCGTTTGGTAGGGACGGTCTCCTGCACCAAAAGGGGTGGGTGGGCTGTTGACCTCGCCCTGGCCCTACTCAGATCTAACAGGACTGGCTTCGCAGAAAATGCTGGGGAGCTGCAAGCTCAGCCCAGCCCAATCAGCAGAGGCAGGTGCTGAGGCTGGATCCACCTGGACAGCTTTGGTAAATGTGCTTTGCAGAAGAGCAGTGATGTGGCAATTGTATCCAAATGAAGACTGCGTTCCCTTTTCATTTAACTTTGGATCCCTTATTATTTCATTTATTTTTGGAATCTACACTAAACATCAAGGTGCACTAAAAATCTACCTTTAAAAAAACAACCAAAGCAAAACCCACCGAAAACAAAAGCGTTATTCTGCTTTACCTGTCTCCATCTTCTTTCTGGGATAACTGATGTGTGTAGAGTTGTTTAAAATGGTGGAATGTTTTCTAAATAGTATTTTGTCACATAAACTGGTACTGAGTACAGATTTTTTTGTATCTTGAAGACAAAAATCAATATGTGAATGAGTTCAAAGTAGCACCTTCAGAACATGTTTTTAGCTTTTAGTTCACGTGTTTAGTTTAGGGAACCTAAATCCTTTAGTTTACAAAAGTCTGTCCTTAATGAAGCGGATCATCTATGAAATGAAACTGAACTGTATTTGCATGTCACGCTCAATCACCCTGCATAAACTATACAATGAAGCAAATGAAAAAAAAAACTACATTTTAAATGAAAAACATGAACTAGTCACAAGGACAAACTGTGAACTGAAACGCATACAGTCGACTCGCAATTTACCTGGGGGTTAGGGATTTTGAATAGCGTGTAACGCCAGATACACCTCTAGTCAAATTTTACTGTGTATCCCAATAAACTCCTGCTCGCCTTACGGTCATTCAAGATAAGTATAAAAACAGTAAAAAATACGACTGTAGAGGCTTTTTAACTAGCTCTCGTAAGCGCGCTTGACGGTTTCAGAGAATAAAGCATTTATAAAGCAAGTTGAGAGCGCGTTAGGCGAGAGTCACTTTAGGTTCCAGATCTTGCTCCCATGATATTGTATCCTCAGCTCAGTTTCACCGCGGCATGTCATTAATTCATTATACTTTTAACTTTTAAACTTTCGGTTTGCACTTGTCCGTCATTGCCTCATATTACATTGCACAGACCTCCAATACACGTGATATATTATTTTTTCACAAGTTTATTATTAAAATAAACATTACAAAACAGAATTCAATTGTTCTTAAAACACGATTGTACTAATAATTACCATAAAAACCATCGTAGCGTTATTGCAGAAGGATTCAAATGCTCATCGCATTCCCCAGTTTATCAGAATACTCGGTATTCAGAATAAATAAAATATAAAATGACTCTGCCATTCAAATAAGCATAATATTATGCAAAAAACGTTATTTTTAAATGCATAAGGAATTTCTCCATGTAGATTATTCAAAATGGTACATTTACTGTACACACGGTCAGTTTCAGGTTTTTATGTAGCTGGTTTTAAAAGGCGATAGAGAATTCAAAAATACTTCTTGGTCGCTAACCATCACGTTAAAAACGCTCCCTCTTAAATGCCCTTTAAATCTTCTCCGCTTGATGTGCGCCTTATAGGACATCTAGAGAGAAGGCATCTTTCAGCTTTTTCCGTGCCTGTATCCGTAAGCATTTAGGACACTCTTCTTCTTTGAAACAGTCTTTGTGAAAACAGGCTTTGCAGTCTGAAAAAAGGACAAAACAGAAATTTTATCAACATCTTCATTTGAAATAATCGCAGAAGAAAATCTTTATTTTGTCTCCCCATTCCTATTAAACCTGCACATAGTTCCCAACTTGAACATGTAAGTACTACAAGAGGTTCTGCATTTTTGGAAAACTGAAGTCGTAGGGCGATCCTATATTGGCATACTAATAATTAATAATAATTGCTTACACTTATATAGCGCTTTTCTGGACACTCCACTCAAAGTGCTTT